ACAACGCCTAAAAGCCACGGAGAAAAAGGAAAAAACACCGCACATCAGCCCAGACTAACGTCCAAAGGGGGTAATTGAGTTTCGGTGAGCCCACATACGTTCCAACATCCTCGCCAGACGTGCGGGTTCCCATTGCATGGCCTCCAACATACTCTGTTGATGATCGAATCCCTCTTCAGCACGAATATCATTATAGGCTGGGCATTCCAATAACACGTGTTTTTCATCCTCAATTCGGCTATTAGGACCACAACAGTGGCAAAACCGCTGCCCCCTGGGGACATGGTACTTGCCCCTTCGTGCTCTGTTCGCCTCCAAAGCCCAGCAACATAAACGAAACTGCATTAGCTTACGATGTGCTAAACGAGGAATGAAAACCTTAGCATGTGTTGGCCACATGACGGCTGCGGCTCCCGAAAAGGGCAGCCCCATCCAGTGCTTATACTTCGCCATTTGCACTCCCGGTTGCTTCCCATCTGATGGGTACTCCTCTGGCAAGACAGTCAGACGCGTATGGTCCCAGCCGCTCATCAAACGCTCTCTTAGTGCCGTTATTATCGCTCCTACTGGTAGAGGTCTAACTTTATTGTGCGCGAGCTCCCCGCCTCCGCACGCTGGCCGCACCTCCTCCTCCCCCTCCCAGCAGCGTGTATCTGTATTCGACCTGCCTGCCGGTAACGTATTGCAGTTGCGGAGAAGGGAAAGCGTCGCCCGCCGCGGGCAAAAGCTGCCAAGTCGCCGCCACCTTCGCCAGTGGCGAAAAAGTCGCCGCCGCCGCGGCCGCAGTCGCCAAGACGTCCGCCAAGCCCGCCGCCGCCACCACCGCCGCCATCCCCATTCCCACGGCCGCCGTCCCCATTTCCACGGCCGCCAAGCCCACTGCCGCCCCCGCCGTCCCCACGGCCACCGCGACCGCCTCCTCCTCCATCACCGCCCTTGAGCATCACCACTCCAGGTCGGCCGCTAGTGATACCTTACTTGGGTATGCGCGCGTCTGCAAGTACGACTGATGGTTTATGCGGCAAAGCCGCTGCTGTCTGTGCGGCAATATCAGATCTGAATTTATG